ACATGGACTCTCTAAATAAAGAGCCTATAGAGATACTCTAAGTATGTTTTGTTTTTTGGGATTCAATTTTGAGGTCAAAGTAAGTTGAGGAGCACTAAAGATTTTGTCACCTAACTAACTCGCCACATCAGCAAGCATCAAAATTTTGTTTTGGTCTATATAGTTTCGGTTAGTTAAGAAATAAAAACGGCATGTTTCGGAAACGTTTTCACATATTTCGAAAATATTTTGACCTATTTTAAAAATATAATAAAAAAATATAAAAAATTAAGAATTATTTTTTTAAAATATTGGTTAAAATATATCAAAATATCTTAAAATATTTTGAAGCATTCCAAAATAATTTTACAAATGTATTGAAACATTACAAAATATCTCGAAACATTATAAAACACCTCAAAATATTATAATTTCTATTATATCACTGATTCGTTTTTATTTTCTTAAAAACAGAAACTTTTCAAACGTTTTAACCGTTTCGAAACAAAATTTTGATACTTTCACATAGGGGTGCAACTCGAGCGGGTTGGATAGTCAACCCTAAGTATATAATCTTCAACCCTAACCCGAACCCTATCTCGGGTTGAAGAATTCAACCCAAGCACTTACCGAGTTTAATTCGGGCGGGTTCGGGTTGAATTCGGGTTAATGATTTCGAGCTAATTTCGGATTACTTTACATGTTCAATTCGGGTTGAGTTCGGGTAGAGCCCAAAATATACTTGTTGTTCTAAACCTAATACATATATTACATAATATTCACCTAAATTAACAACCAATAACTTTAACAAAGTTTTAACAGTACTAATGTTAGAAAAAAAATGAAAATGAACAAGAGAAACAGAAAACGATAGAACAAAAATGAAACATTAGTGTTAATGCTTTATATATATATATAATTTTTTTTTTTAAATTGTCAGGTTCGGATTAAAATCGGGTTAGGATTTTCTAACCCAAGTCCAACCCAAATTGAATTCGGGTTGAGATTTTTTGACCCAAGCCCAACTTAAATATTAAAAACCCTTACCCAAATTCTAATTTTTTCAGGTTGGGCTCGGGTTGAAATCGGGTTGCCCAACCCAAATTGCACCCCTACTTCCACATCAGTTAGGTTAGTGTGATTTACAGACCCAGAATACTCGTGGTCATTTAATTGGCTTAAAATTGCTTTGACTTAACTTAGTGGGACTATAGTTTACAATATATTTTTTTAATCTAAAAACTTGTTTTTTGGAAAATCAAGTTTGTGGCCAAAGTAAAAATCTAATTTGAACGAATTCGCTTTCCATTCAAACAAAGTATCAAGCATTTGTAGGAATGTTGTTTCCGTTCGAACAATGTTAGCTCTATGTGAAACTTCTAACACTATCATTGGAAGGCCGCTTGAAGGCAGTTGCTCATACTGAAATTTTAAAAAATTTTGGGGAGTAAGAATGACTTTAAAATTTATTAGATATTTGGCCTCATTGAAATTTTTTTAAAACATTTCTAGGTAGTTATGTAATTTGACAAACACAAGGGAGAAAGGTCAATTCAACTATTCTATTTGGCCTCCTCAATAAGGTTTTTCATGTATTTTGAAATCAAGGTTTCAGTATAATTTACTCTAAAATAATTTCTTCTTAAGCTCTCCTCCAATTGTCTTTCACTTTAGTTTACTAGTTGATGCACACGTGCATTGCACGTGAACAATTATAAGCATTAAATCATATATAATAGTATTGCACGTGAACAATTTTAAGTATCAAATCATATATAATACTGGTGCAAACATTATGTAACATTTTATTGTTCAAATTGTCATAAATCAAGAATGTAAAAAATTATAATTTTAGTATTATAGATAATAATATATATATATATATAATTCCAAACTATAATAACTATCCACACACTATTCTATGCTACATATGAAAATGTTTAAAACATCATTTTAATTCTTCGAAACAATGCAAACATGCAACATGCATTTGTCTTTACGAGATATTACAATATTGTTGTTCCTGTCATTCATGTAGCTCTGCTGTCGAGTGTAACTCACAACACACATGTTCTCACATTCTTGCCTAACATTTTCGATTCTAAATGACTTCTAAATTCATGTCTGTATTCGATTCATCCCTCTTAGCAACCCCTATTAACATAGACCAAACTTACTTTGGAAAAAAAAAATATCTTGTTCAACTGCAAATAAAGTTCCTAAATTAGAAACAAAAAGGGAAAAAAAAAAAAAAAGGCAATAGTCTTTATTATGAAGAAACTACGGAATGAAAGTCGTAGTTAGCAAGCTAATTCTATTGTGAATAGCACTAGTTCTTGAAAGGAAAAATAAAAAAAAAGGAACAAGTTGCACTTCTACAAGCAATATGAATTAAAAAACATTTTGCCTTATATTTTTTGATATAGAAAATAAATGTTACATTTTTGAACATTTTAAAGTGAATGTTATGGACAACTAATCCTCCTCGTTGCATCATTGCATTGATCCCGGTATGATTCTGCAACAAAATATCAATGTTATGTTGAGATTAGGATTAATATTTTGATTCTTTTAACTTTTCTTACAGTCTTATGTGACTATAATAATAAATAAATGATTAGATATCCCAAGGGATTTCAAATCATAATTAAATATAGAAGATTTGGGATAGCAATTGTAGATTTGGCTGTCGCCACCGAGTATGCGGAGAAATTTAAACATGTGTAATATTATTTGTGGCTTTGATTATCCTTGCTAAGCATGCATACAAGGTTCAAACATGAAGTGGATACAGGATACAGTGAAAGAAAAAAAAAAAAAAAAGAGGCAAGAATTAATGCAATTCCTAAATTTAGCAAACCCTTTGAGCTATCGTGGTAACTCCACTTTTTCACTTTGTGTAATGCTACTTGTAGGTTTCATACCACTATGAGGCAACAATCCTAGACACGATTTAAATGATTGAGAAATGAATAATTATTAAAATTTTGTATCTAAAATAGATACTCTCACAGTTAACTAATCAAAACCAAAACAGTGGGGGAAGGTATGAGACCCAAAATGCATTGATCTAAAGAAGAAATCAGTCTCAAACATGAGAATCTCGTGTACCTGA